ACACACACACACACACACACACACACACACACACACACACACACACACACTATCGACCTATGTCTCTTTTACTACATATCTATACTGTATATCTTACTACATATGTTGAGTTTATCTTCCTCAGCCTCCATTAAAGTCCTAGACTGTGACCTGATTCCATGGAAAACCCATGAAAAGTTTACCTATACAAACTGAAAATCAGTCCACATCAGCGTGTCGTAAGATCACTAAGAAAGAGTCCTGTAAAACTCTGGAGTTAGGCATGTCATTTCTTTCTAATATTTATAGCAGATATGACAAAGGGTTAATGTCCATAAGATTCCTGTTACAGTACACCTGGAAGTGCTTCCTGGATTAGTTGAGATGAGTTCCTGCCAATTTCCCTAGCTGGGCATATCAGTCCTTTCATCCTTTCCTTTGCCTGCCCTTTCTAGTCCCCTGGCCCAACAACTGTGTTTTCCCATGTAGACTCTTCTCCCTTTGCATCTACATAAGCAATTTGGATTTTGCATGTGGCATAATTTTCTACTCCGTATCTCTAAGATCCCATATGAATGTCTGTTATTAACTGTGTAATGAGAATATCATCATTGATTATGCAGCCAACCTTGATAATTATATGTAGAATTTTGTTTTTGTATAAAGTTAGTGCTTCAAGCTTAATTCTCACCTCCCAATGGAAGAAAAGAGTGAATAAATATTTATCAGTCCAAAGTAATAGAGTATAAAAGCCTGGTAGAATTTAAAAGTCAACTGAAAGCCAAAATCAAACAGAACACAAAAAATGAAATCATTCTGTTTTTCATTTCCAATACAGAATTTTTGCATCCCAGACAAATGATTATAGAATAGGAAGTAGATGTCTCATGGTGTGCATGGAAGATAAAAATTTCATCTTATTTTTATTTCCTCAAAAAAACAGGTATGCTGTGTCAATGGCCAGAAGAATTGGAGCCAGAGTGTACGCTCTTCCTGAAGACCTTGTGGAAGTAAAGCCCAAGATGGTCATGACCGTGTTTGCGTGTTTGATGGGCAGGGGGATGAAGAGAGTGTAAAATAATCGATCTGAATAAAAGCAACCTGTTCCCAGGTGCATGATTAGCAAGTCAGCAATTTCCAGGTGAAGTGTTCTTGGTCATTTAAAGGACTTTTAGTTTCGATTAATAAGACTAGCTCATCATAAGATTCCCTAGGGAGAAAGTTTTAAGAAAAACAACTCCTCTTTCCCATATTCAGAGTTGGATCTGTCAGGCACACCTGAAATGTGCTCAGCATCAACACTTGTTCCTCTCTTCTAGAATGCTGCCCTCGACATTGCCCTTTGCTGCTTGTTATTCTCTATGTATCTTTCTCCCTCTTCAGATTTGTTTAGATGGTTGGATATGAATATTATTAACCAGTCATTTTGCTTTCCATTCCGTCTGTGAATTCTTCAGGAACTATGGGCAGAAGGTATATAGATCGGAATGTCCCTTACTTACTTTGTAGTACTGAAAATTTGCCGAAGGAACTGGCTGTGCAGAATGTAATAGAAGATTTTCTTATTCTTTTATTCTTAAAATTAGTATCTTTTTACAGTATTCTTTCTACATGATCCTTTTTTGTACATTTAAGAATATTTTGATTACATTCAACAAGTCTGCTGATTTTGCTACTTTTTTAAAGGGGTCTTCAAGTAAGTAAAAAACATACATTATAAGCAGAAGAAACATGTATTCTAAATGCATCTTCCCTCTCCCACCCAAGCTGTAAACAAACAAAATATTTTGTCTTCTATGGGTCTGTTCACTACATGCTTATTTGCTTCAAAACCTATATCATCAAACTCTCTCATTCGATTTAAAACGCTGTTTAATACGACATGTTTGAGGAGAGAGTAAACTCAGAGCTTAGATGGGATTCTGTAGGCCAAGTATGCTAAGTGTACAATGTATTTTTTAATTTCACACCTATAACAAAGAAATGTGGTCACTAAAAAGTAAAAGTATATACGTAGGACTTGACGTACTCTCGCTTGGTCAAGCTGATTGCTATAGTTTTCAAGATCATTATGTTACTCTAACTCTGAAAAGTGATGTAATCTGGTAGCAATGTAGTACTTCAAATAAAGGCATTTACGTAATACTTAGCCTCTTTCTTTTTCTTGGGGGGGGAGGGGGCTGCTGAGACAGGGTCTTAGCCCAGACTGGCCTTAAACTAGTAATCCTCTTGCTTCAGCCTCCTCAGGAGTGCACCACAATGCTGGGCACGAGACTATTAGGCCTCTGACCCTTGCTAGTATGACAGTGTTTGGCAGGTTTGGGATTTTTTTCTGCTATATTTTATAAAATGCTGTTAAATTGGAGCCTTTTGGCTGAATTAGACATATATAATGGTTTTCTCCAGCTTACCAAGATTTCCCTGGCCCAGTTGTACAGCACATGGCCTTCAGAAGGTTCTGGGTTCAATCTCCAGCATGAAAAGAAGAGAAAAAAAGAAAAAAAAACCCACCTATTCCTTCCTTTTTTTTCCTTTCTCATTTCCCTTAATCTTTTTTTCTCATTTGCTCATTTTTATTTTTTTGTAATTTTTTTATTAGGCTATATGCATCACCTCCCTTAATCTTTGCAAGGTTCTCTGATATACAGACCCTGAAATGAGGGGGATCTGAACAGTCAGGGGAGCTGGGCTCTGCTAG